TGCTCTAATAAATTTGTTAGTCTCTAAGGTGACTCAAAAGAAAGCAGCACAAAGGACCAATGGACACAGACACAGAGTTTGAATCTGGTCTAGATTTGCATAAGAGGAAAGCTGCTATAGAAGTGAGGTGTCTTGCAGAGGACCCCGGGTCTCGTCTTGTCAACATGGGAGCATCGATCCGGATCGGCAGAAGCCCGGCTCCACCCCCTCCCCCATCTAACTCACCTGGCCAGTGAAGTTAAGGGGAGCAACTAATTGGTAACAACAAGACGGAGTGTGTGTGTGTGTGTGAGTGTAAGTGTAATATATTATATGCATATAATACAGTGTTAATAAATACGTGTATTACTAATAAATGTGGCGTTTTGTCTTATTCCCCCTGAAAAGATCCTGTGCAGTACTTTAAGTACAACACCGGGCACTCACCAGCAGCCGGAAGAAGAACCAGGCCTGGCGTATCACGGCCTCGCGCACGGCGCCGGTGCTCACCACCCACTGCAGGGCCAGCTCCTCGTGCAGCAGCTGGGAGGAGACAGCCGGGCGGTTACCAGGGGCGGGGGGCACGGCCGGCAGCACCAAGGGGGTAACGCCGCGGGGGGAGCTCGTCTCCTCCCGGGCTGGGGCATCGAGTGTCTTCCCCCTCCCCCCACTGCTCCTACACCGATTTACCCCCCGGCCCCCATCACCCTCCCTGCTCTGCAATCCACACCGCCTCCCCCGCCCCCCGCGGCCAGGCCAGGCTCTGAGCCCTTGGTACAGGTGGGAAACCGAGGCCCAGGGAGACCGAGCTACGTCGGTCCAGCCCTGCTGCCATGAACCAGGCCTGGCTCCGGCAGTTCTCCTGGCCTGGGCACGGTTCCCCGCTCCCCACGACGCCTGCCGGGCGGGTCGAGCAGCGGAAACGCTCCGGGGTGGAGGCGTTAGCGGCTCCGGCCGGGACAGACCCTGGGTTCACCTGGCCCCAGCACGGCGCTGCCAGTCTGCAGCGCGTCTCCCCCCGTAACACACCGGGCCCCTCCGTTCGCTCCCGGCTATCGCCAGGCCTGCCCTCGGCTAGCGGGACCCCCCGCCGGCCTGAGGCTGTGAGCCCGGAGGGGAAAGCGGCCCAGCGGAGCGCTCCGTGGCACACCGGCGAGGGAGGCGGCCGGGCTGGGCTCAGACAGGGCAGAGGAGGAGACGAGGGGTGCAGGGCAGAAGATGGATGGAGAGGAACAGGCTGGAGATTTTAGCTGGTGGGTGATAGATGGAGCCTGTCCGAAAGGAGACGTCTCCCCCCGACCCGCATTCTCTCTGTGTCCGGCCGGGGGCACCCGGGGCTCGGAGCGACTCTGGAGCTCGGGGATTCTGATTAATGCATCGGCTGCGGGTGGGATCAGAGCCCGGTCCCGATTCAAGGCTTTAACAACACACTGGGAGCTCCAGGGCAGGGCTCCAAGCACGTACTTGGCGTTCGTTAACTAGGCCTCATGTCGCCCCAGTGAGGCTAAGGCAAGCGTTATCAATGGGGAAACTGAGGCACGGAAAACGGACGTGACGTACCCCAGGCCACACAGGACGTCAGTGGCAGGGCTGGGGGCAGGGGACCGGACTCTGGGCTCCCAGTACTCCAGCTCTAGCCATTACATCACTTCCCGCTCCTAGAGCCAGGAACGGAACCCAGGAGTTCGGGCCCCCAGCCCCCGCTGCTCTGACCACTAGCCCCCACTTCCCTCTCAGAGCCGGGGAGAGAACCCAGGCATCCTGGCTCCCATCCCTCCTGCTCTAACCACTAGACCCCACTCCCCTCTCAGAGCCGGGGAGAGAACCCAGGCGTCCGTGCTCCCAGCCCTCCTGCTCTAACCACTAGACCCCATTCCTCTCTCAGAGCCGAGGAGAGAACCCAGGCGTCCGGGCTCCCAGCCCTCCTGCGCTAACCACTAGACCCCACTCCCCTCTCAGAGCCGGGGAGAGAACCCAGGCGTCCGGGCTCCCAGCCCCATGCTTTGATCATGAGACCCCCCCAGTCTATTCCATGGGCGGATGCGGGGTGGGGTGGGGGGGGAAGTGTCTATTCCAGGAGATTGAGGATCAGCTGTAATTGGGCAAGAACCATTTATCCCCCCCCCCCGCCCCCCAGACTTTGCTCGGCCGCCCCCCCCCTCTACCTTCTTGGCGGTCGGCCTGGTGGGGGCGGCGGGCGCGGAGGAGCGCTCCAGGAAGGAGGAGAGGCGGTTAGAGCTTCGCTCGCAGGCCTGTGGGACGCGGCGGGTGGTGATGATGGAGGAGAGGAGTTAATGGAGTGAGCGGATGGAGCAGAGGAGAGATGTGATGGACCAGCCCCCCCCCACCAATGCTCCATGGGGGTCTGCGCAGGTTCCCCCCTCCCCCCCGGGCGAAGTGGCGCCGCAGTCCTCGCTCCCCCCCACTAGGGGTCAGCGCCGCGCGGAGAGAACAGCCGGGGCGGGGGCTGCAAGCGAAGCGGAGAAGGGGAAGGGGCACCTGTTTGAGGTCGGCGCTGGAGCTGGGCGGGTTCCGGCGGAGCACGGCCCTGGGCCCGCCGGGGGCGTAGGCCGAGTTGACCCAGGAGTGCGAGCGGTCGATCCCCTGCACCGCGGCCGGCGGGAGAGAAGAGAGCAGCGAAAACCGTCACCGGGGGGGAGGGCGGATTCAGAGCCCCCCGCCCAGCCAGCCCCCTGCCCACCGCAGGATTTCAGCCGGGAACCCAGAGCGACCCACCACCAGCGCAGCCCAGCCCGAAAGCACCAAGCGGGGAAGGTGGCAGGGGAGCCGTGCCCAGACCGGCGGCTTGCAGGGATCCCGGGGGGCAGATTCCATCCCGGAGGGTGCAGAGTGCCCGGGGGGGGGGGCGGCAGAGCCGGGCGCCCCTCTCCAGGGGCACAGCCAGCGCCGGCCTTACTTTGCTGCCCAGAATCTGCTGCACTTCATCGTCGGGGGAGCCGGGCGTGGTGGCCAGGTCAGGGTTGCTGTTGCTGATGCTCTTGGAGCGGGACAGGTGGAGGCTGGCGGGGCGGCCGGTGGCGCGGGACAGGGTGGCGCATTGGATGGCAGCCCCCTGGGGCGGCGTCCTGGCCTCTGGAACCAACGCACCCAGGGGGGTCAAGGGGGTGGGGAGGCATTTTAACCCCCTTGGAGAACTCAGGAGTCCTGGCTCCCAGCCACTTGCTCTAACCACCAGACCCCACTCCCCTCCCAGGGCCGGGGATAGGACCCAGGAGTTCTGCATCTCAGCCCCCCCCTGCTCTAACCACCAGACCCCACTCCCCCCCCAGGGCCGGGGATAGGACCCAGGAGTTCTGCATCTCAGCCCAGTTCCCCTGTCCAACTCTGCCCCCCTTCCCGACGGATCCCCCAGAGGAAACATTCCCAGAAGACCCCTCCTGGGATCAGACCCCCCCCCCATGCCCCCACCCCTCTGGGAGCAGCCCTCCCCTCCCCACTGGACTCCTCCTCCCACTCATCCCTCCCCAGAAGCAGCCCCTGCCTCCACCACCCCCCTGGGAACTGGCCCCCAGCAGCCCCCCGCCCCCCCCCCAGGACACGCAGCCCCATGGATGTTAAGGGGCCGGCTGCCTGGAGTTCCCCCAGCCGAGGAGCCCCCCAGGGGCCCTGTGCCCCCAGCTCACCGTCCCCCGTTGGCGGCGGCTCGGCGGGCAGGCGGAAGGCGAAGTGGATGTAGGCGGCCAGCAGCGGGTTGTGGTGGTGCTGGCCCTGGCTGGCCTCCAGTCCCTGGTGGATCTGGTTCACCATGACGGCCATGGCCTCGAAGGCGGTGCGGCCCAGGTTGACTGGGGGAAGACGTGAAGGGGGGAGGGGTGAGCCGGGGAGCGGGGCAGGGCTGGGCCGCAGGACTCCTGGGTTCCTCTCCCTGGGGCATGGGAGCAGGTCCCCATCAGTCCTGGCCCAGTGCGGGGAGCCCTGCATGGGCACACGGGACTCCTTGGCTCTGCCTCTGGCCTGCTGGCTGATCGCATGCAAGCCACGGCCCCACCCGGTGCCTCAGTTTCCCCTTGGGGACAGCAGGGCTAGCGCTCCCCTGGGGCACGGGCCGATTGTGGGGGCTCCGGCACGCCGACGTCACGCGCCCCGGGTAACATCCGGGAAATCAACTGTGCAAAACCGCCCCTCTGATTGGCTGCCTTCCCCTCTGCCCCGCCTCCTGGGGCAGAGCAGCCAATCAGAGCAGCTGCAGAACTCTCCCCTCCTCCCCTTAGGGGTTGGCGCCGTTCTCGGGGGCGGTAGCAGCGGGGGGGACGGGACAAAGAGCCTGGCGGCTCTGCACCCCCCTGCCAACAACACCTGGCCTGAGAAAGGGGAGAGGGCCCCAGTGCAGCCCCCCCAGGCCTGGAAAGGGGGTGAGTTAAATGTCCAGGAGCAGAGGTAGGGTGGGAGGGGGCAGAATTCGATCTGCAGAAAACAACAGACCCCCACACACACACTCTTTCCAGACCCTGTTAAGCCCGGCAGTCGCTGCTCCGGCCCCTGGCGATCGGGGGGCAAGGTCCCCGCGGGGTAGGGGGCCAGGCACCCCCCCGATCACAGGGCGAGGTCCCGGAGGGGGGAAGGGGGCCAGGCACCCCCCCCGATCACAGGGCGAGGTCCCCGCGGGGGAGGGGGCCAGGCACCCCCCCGATCACAAGGCGAGGTTCCGGCGGGGGGAAGGGGGGACACTCACCAATCTGGCCCCCGATGATGGGCGGGCGGGCGATGAGCAGCAGCAGCTTGTCCAGGACCTGGTGGCAGTGGGCGAGCAGTGGCCCCAGCCCGGCCCCCCGCAGCCCGGCCACGCTGGCCCGCAGCTCCCCCTCCACGTTGCTCTCGGTCAGCACGGCGTCCCGCAGCCGCACCGGGAAGTGGCTCTCCTCCAGCACGTGGCCCAGTGTGAAGAACTTATCCAGGGCGGGGTCCTGCCGGGGGACGGGGCAGGTGGCACCGGGGGGCTCCAGCCCCAGCTCCCGCCCCCGGGATCTCCGACCACTGGCCAGCACCGCTCTGCCCTCTTGCACTAGCGTCCCCCATTGCAGGGGGGGGGCCAAGGAAATGAACCCAGGAGTCCTGGCCCCCGACGCCAGGCTCTAGCTCCCCACGGGCCACCCCGGTGGGTACGTAGTGCGGGCACAGAGGGATCAGACCCGTCAGCCACAGAGACGCTGGGTACGTTGGCAGAAGGGGGCTGGAGGGGCCGCGAGCGGGCATGAGCTGGGACGGCGGGTCGGGAGCCAGGGGGCACAGACGCTGATCCCAGCCCCAGAGACAGGCTGTGCCCACGGACGAGGGGCAGGGCCCAGAGGCACCCCTCAGCCTGGCAAAGCGCCCCACATGTAGCAACTAGACACGGTGCCTCACATCGCCCCTGGGAAGCCATACAGAGCACCCCCAGCCTCCCTACCCACCCCAACCCCGACCTGCCTCCCGGGGAGCCCAGTTCCAGCACCCCCCCATTCCCCCACTTCCCCACCCCCGCTGGGGAACCAGACAGCTCCAGCCCCCCGGGATGTCTGCCCCAGCCCCGCCCTCACCTGCGTGTGCACCGAGGACACGGCCAGCAGCTCCACGTGAAACACCCCCTTGTGGTTATCGACCCACTTCATGCCGGGGAGCTGCACCTGCCGGCGGGGAGGGAGAGCCGTGAGCCCCGGACCCCACTCCTTCCCCCTGCCCCCAGTGCTCCCTCACCTGGGTCCCAGCCCCCGCGCCTGCTCCCACCCCATCCCCATGGGCAGAGGGCACGGATGCCAGGCAGGGGTGCAGCGGTGGTCCCCTCCCGGAATCTGACCACGCCCCCATGACTCAGTTTCCCTGCCAGTTGCAGGGTGGGTGGTGCCCAAAGGAAGGACATTCCCCCCCCCCGACAAAGCCTCCTGTCTCAAAGGGGCTGGCACCCCCATCCTGGCCTCACTGGGGCAGGTCCCTGTAGCCCAGCTCAGCCCGGGCGAGGGGGCTGGGTAGGGGGAGGTCGCGGGCTGGGTCTGCCGGCCTGGACGCCCACCTCCCCCCGAGCCAAGCTGGCCCAGGTGCCCGTGCCCAGGGCTGCCACGCACCTGCCGTGCCTACTTACGTCGGGGGTGAGCACGGAGTAGCTGGGCGGGGGCTTCTCCACCGACACGGGCAGGCAGAGGGGCCCCGTCCGCAGGCGGCCGTGCTGCAGCAGCGGGACCCACTGGCAGGAGAGAGCAGGGATGAGACCGGGGCCCTGGACACAGGGCGGGGGGCCCCAGGAGCAGGGATGTGGGTTGGGGGCGTCCGAGGCACTGGGGAGGTTCCCAGGGGCAGGGACATGGGGTGGACGGGGGGCCCAGGGGCTGGGGAGGTTCCCAGAGGCCAGGGACAAGGGGCGGGGGAGGTTCCCGGGGGGCCGGGACATGGGCTGGGGGCCCCAGGGCTGGAGAGGTTCCTGGGGGGCAGGGACACGGGCTGGGGGCCCCAGGGCTGGAGAGGTTCCCGGGGGGCAGGGCCCCAGGGCTGGGGGCCCCAGGGCTGGAGAGGTTCCGGGGGCAGCGATTTGGGGCTACGGATCCCAGGGCTGGAGAGGTTCCGGGGGCAGCGATTTGGGGCTGGGGGCCCCAGGCCTGGAGAGGTTCCGGGGGCAGCGATTTGGGGCGGGGGGCAGCGAGGAGGCCCCCCAGGCCGGCTGACCGTGTAGCCGACGGGCGTCTCCAGTGGCGCGTTCTGCTTGGGCTGGCAGCTGACGTGGTAGAAGGTGAAGAGCAGGTGGTGATTGTCCGTCAGGGCGGGCGGGAGCCACAGCTTGAACTCCTCGTAGAACTCGGGGCACCTGGGGGGCAGCAGCAGTGAGGCCCCCCGTGGCCAAGGAGCCCCAAGGCGTCTGTGTGGGGCACCCCCCGATCCTCACACTCAGGCGCTGAAACCCCCCGATCTCCAGGCTGGGGAGCTGCCCTCGGCCCCGGCCCACGTCCTGGGGAGACCCACAGCCCGGCCCAGCACCCCCCTCCACCCAGACACCCCCAGACGGGTTACCGTATTAACTGAAATAGCCCCCCAGCCGCCATAGCACCCCCACACCCAGACACCCCTAGACGGGTTACCGTATTAACTGAAATAGCCCCTCCCCGCCCATGCCTGGACAGCTCGGTGGGCAGCGCTCACCTGTTGTGATACACCACGGCGGTGTAGGCGTCTTTCGTAAACTCGCTGCAGCTCGACTTGCCGAATATCACCTGGTGAAAGACAAACATCACACCGGGCGAGGGGGGACAGACAGGCGGGACAGCCACAGACTGACACAGCGGCGAGAGATGGGAGAGGGACAGTGCTGCATGGGGGGTTCAGGCACCGGGCCCAACCTCCCTGGGATCTGGAGAGAGTTTAACCTTCGGCCGGAAATTTCGGGGGCCCCCATTTAGCATCGCTGAGCTGGGAGCCCCCCCCCCATCTGATCTTGGGGCTGATGTGAAGCATGTCGAAGGGCCCTGAGTTTACAGGCAACACGTGCCCCCCCCCCCCCGAAGCGTTTTTTGGGCTGTCTCAGGCCGGGCAGCCCAGAGGGGGCAAAACTCTCCAGCCAGGCCCCTGAAATCCGAGATGGGCTGGAGGCTGCGGCTCGGTGAAGCCCTGAGAAGAGCGGGTTCCTGTTGGCGCCGCGGGCCCAGCACACCCAGGGGGGCAGCAGCAGTGAGGCCTCCCGTCCCTCCCGCCCCAGGGCTGCTGCTTTGATGTAGGGCCAGGGCCCCCCAGCCTCTTGCTTGGCCAGACTCTGCTTCCGGGCCGACGCCGGTCGCGTCCCTCGGGGACGGGCGGTTTCCCCATCGGCACAGACACCCGGCCGTGCCCCGGGGCACAAGGAGCTGGGTGCCCTGCTGGCTGTCGCTCCGGGGAGCTCGGGGTGGGGCCGACACTCACCGGCAGGGCCTGGCTGGGGTCCTCGCCCGCCATGAACTGCACCTTCACGGCGATGTTGCGCACCGAGCCCTGGCGGCTGCTGAAGTTCAGGCTCTGGGGGTAGACGTAGAGCAGGTTCCTGGGGGAGCGGGAGAGAGACACGCAGGGGGTCAGTGGGAGGGGGGCGCGGCCACGCCCATTCACACTGCTGCGGGCTGGGACGGGGTCCTGCCTCCCAGAGGCCTGTGGGGAAGAGCAGCAGCCCCATTGCAGGGAGGGAAACCGAGGCACCAAGAGGGGAAGGGGCTTGGTGCCAAGGCAGAGGAGAGAACCCAGGAGTCCTAGCTCCCCGGCTGTGCAGTGGTGCCGTCTGACCCCGCCCGCACGTGGCTGCCCGCCGGTGACCCTGATGGAACTGATCACGAGGCCACTCCGGGGCGGCCAGGCGAAGAGCCAACGGGCAGCAGGGAGCCAGGAGTGTGGGGGAGGGGGATGAAAAGGTGGGGCGAGGATTTGGTTTGAGACCCCCCCCCCCAGCTCAGGTGCCCTCCCCTGCTACCCTGCACTGGACTGAACTGCCCCAGACCCTGTCTCAGCCGGAACCCCAGTCTGGGAGGGGAGCGGGAGGGGGAACTGGGAGCCAGGACTCCTGGGTCTCTCCCCGGCTCCGGGAAGGGAGCGGTGTCTAGTGGCTAGAGGGGCATGTGGGGCTGGGAGCCTGGACTCCTGGGTTCTCTCCCCGGCTCCGGGAAGGGAGCGGTGTCTAGTGGCTAGAGGGGAGTGGGGGGCTGGGAACTAGGACTCCTGGGTTCTCTCCCCGGCTCCGGGAAGGGAGCGGTGTCTAGTGGCTAGAGGGGCCTGTGGGGCTGGGGCCCAGGACTCCTGGGTTCTCTCCCCGGCTCCGGGAGGGGAGCAGGGTCTAGCCCTGTCTCAGGAGCTCTGCGTTTGCCCGCGGGGGCTCTGCCCCCCGCCCGGCTGCAGGGATCTGAGGAGCACGAGCAGGCTCCGCTATTAACCCCTCGCTGACCGCCGCGGCCTCTCTGACGCAATCCCCTTTCGCAACTGCCCTGCCCCGGCCAGGGGCTCCGTGCCCCAGGGCAGCCGTCAGGACAGGGCGCTGGACCCGCGCCAGTTGCCAAAGTCTGCTGGCACCGGAGCCCCGGGGGCGGGGAGGAGACGCTCACCAGACACCCAATGCCCTGCCCCACACCTCTCCCCGCCCCCAGGCCCATATAAGGCCGTCTCCTGCCCTCCGGCGCCCGAGCGATGCTGAGCCTGGCGCTGCTGCTGGCCCTGCTGCCCCCCGGTGCAGCCCGGCCCCCCCCGGGGGTTGCCCCGCAGGACGAGGTGGACATCCTGGTCTATGGGGTGCTGCAGTTCAGCCAGGCGCTGCACGAGACCCACGGCACCACGGGGCAGCGGCTGGAGCAGGCCGGGCGCCAGCTCGGGCGCTGCCAGCTCCTGCTGGGGGCCCTGCAGCGCCAGGCACGCCAGGCCCGGCAGGCCGTGGAGGAGCTGCGCGGGGCAGTGGAGGGGCTCAAGGTACCCACCTGGGGGAGGGGTTGGGAGCCAGGACGCCTGGGTTCTATTCCTGGCTCTGGCACTTCCGCAGCTTTAAACCTCGAGGTTCACCTCTGCACCTCAGTTTCCCCAGCTGTCCGGCAGGGGGTGATGGTTTAGAGTCTGCAAAGCCTGCGGGAGGCGGGTGAGCCCGCCGGATCCTGGCCCTGGGGCTAAGAGGATTTGGGGGCGTCTCCCCGGCAGGGGCCAGGTGTCTATGAACCCCCAAGTCTCCGGCTTCATCTGCCCAACTGAGGGCTCACCCAGCCCCTCGCCATCAGCCCCGAGAGCGGGGCAGGATTACCAGCCCCAGATGGGGAAACCGAGGCACAGGGCAGGATGCTTTTGCTGCTCTCCCCCCTTGGAGTACCCCCAGCCCCGGCTCAGTCGCCCCACAGCTCTGCTCTCCCCCCCGCCAGGCCGAGGAGACGGCACTACGGCTGCAGGCCCACAGCACGGCCCAGGCCGTCCAGACAACGCTAGCGGGGCGCCTCCTGCTGGCAGAGCGGGTGCAGGAGCTGGAGGATACGCTGGCCGGCCTGGCGGGGAGGGGCCCCCGGCATGGGGCCACGGAGCTGGCTGCTCTCAAGGTAACGGACGCGCCTGGGCCCCGGGAATTCCCGGCTCCAGACGCTGCCCTGACCCCCCCTCGCTCTGGGCCCGGGCGTGAGACACCCCTAAACCCAGCCCCGGCCCGGCCTGCGCTGCCACCGCTGCTGCCAGCAGGGGGAGCTCTGAACCGCGGGCTCAACTCTCCCCTGGGGGCTCAGCACGGCCCCGTCACGGGGGGGGGAGCGACCCCCACTGGGATCCGGACCCCAACTGTGGGCTGCTGGGCCCCCAGCTCCGGGGCGATGGGGGGAGGCAGCCCCCGGGGAGGGGGCAGAGGGGTAACACAAGGGGGGCTGGGGAGAGAGCAGCTGGAGGGGGAGGGGGAGCAAAGGGTCACCTGGCACGTGCCCCACACATGCGGGGACCCCCTCCCGGGTGTGTCTGAACCCCGCCTCTCCCCAGACGCACGTGGAGCGGCAGAACCTCACCCTCCGGGCCCTGGCGGACACGGCCCAGCAGCAGCAGCAGCGAGCGGCCAGGCAGGCGGAGCAGCTGGCCCGGCTCTGGGAGCAGGCAAGGCCCC